CACACACACACACACACACACAAAAAAAATGACAAATTTCTACTTTCTCAGCCCACCTAACCCCCACCCCCAAAATAATTTTCCTATGTTTACAGAACATTGCCTAACATAGTGCTTTTTTTTTGGGGGGGGGGGGGGTGTTATAGGAGAAAGAGGCATTGTGAATATTCTGTTCTGATCAATCCCAATTTGCATCCAAATGTACTACGGCTTTTCACCATGATAATCTGGCCACTACAAAGCCTTCAGAATAAACTAAAGTAATATCTTCAAATATAGTGCTGATCCTAATTTCTCTTAAATTAGTAAACTCCTTTATTTAGAGTTGGCAACTTATTCATCCCACCTCATTCCTTTAGGAATGACATTCTCCTAGGGACTAAATATCTCCAAGTTATTACTCAGTCTCCAGCACACCAATAGCTCTTTCTGATACAGAAAACAATCTTTTGTCCAGACTGCTAAGGCTGAAAAGTTTATACCTATGCTACAACATAACAAGATAAAACAACAAAAAACTACTTCCTCCTATCTGTACTCTCTCTGAAGCATGACCACTTCCATTTTCTCTTTTCCTTCTAGGACCTTTATTTTATATATATATAAATACTTTGACTTAAAGGAAAACAAAAACTACATTTCATCTTAAACATGTATGTGTACATATCTACCTTCAGCAGACATGGTGATTTTAACAAAATGCAGACCACATATCTAAGAGCAAAGGCAGACCTGAAAGAATATCAAAGTAGATAATGGTCTGGCAAATTCACATGACAAAGCATGAGGAAAGCAGAGTGATATAAAGAACACTTGTTGACATAAAAGAATCAGACAGAAGAGTTGCCAGAACTGGCATACATGCAAAGCCAAGAATGCTTTCTTCCTTTTTAATAGTTGAGTAAATTATATAATATCAGGAATGTCTAAATATGCAATACGCATGCTCTTTGACAACCAAGTCTCATCAGGAGCAATGTACAATGTCTGGTGACATATATGAGCATTCCCTATAATTACCAACTACTCATTAGCAAAAGGAAAAAGGAATTTCTATTAAGATTAAAGCCACAGAATTCTATTTTGTAGATACTATGTACATATTAAAAACAAGAAAAAATAAATTAGGTATAAAACAGGCCAATTTCAAGCTATCATGTTGTTGGTGATGATTATAGTCAAACTTGTACATTCTCATGCCAGAAACCAGCTCTTTAGCCTCATTCCACTCTATTATTTACTCCTCAAAGTTATACCACTTTGGAAGATGTAGCTAAGTCAGGATCAAAAACAGTCCCAAACTCTTCAGAGAAGACTAGAAGGAAACAGGCAAAAATAAATACAATAATAAATAGGTAAAAATAAAAAATAAATAGAAGGAAGACTAGAAGTCAGTAGTCTTAGGCCATGCCAGTAAGTTTTATGACAGCAAAGTCTTTTCACTCAACTCCCACTGCCTCTCCTGTTCTGAAACTTGAAGAGGTGAACAATGTTTTAAACCCCATTTTCCGTACTTAGGCTCACCTGACATCCTTCCACCCATCTCGTCTCACTGTACAAATTCTTTCGATACCTAGAATACTGGAAGGTAAATGGATCACCCCTTCCAGAAATCCATTAAAAGAAAAATAAGTAATATGTTACCAAGAAATACAACTTCAGGAAGAAAGATCCAAAAAATAGGATCTAAACAAGATTTTATGTCTAATCAATTAAAATAATACACTGATCAGACAAGTGATTACAAACAAGGAATGTCCTCTACTGAAAAATGGTTAGGTTTTAATAGTATCTAGGAGTTAACCACATAGGACGACAGAAAAAGAAAACCCAGAATATTGACAAGGTTTTCCTTTATCAAAACCTATGGTAAGGCATTACTTCCCTAAGTTGCCCTCTCCTTTCCAGTAACCATCAGAAACTAGAGATCTTTTAGTCTGGGGCTATTTTCTGACCCCATAAAATGATGATGATTCCTTAGGGCTAACTCAGCATTATTGAGCTACATGAGAAGCAGAATAATGACTATTATGTAACATACAGGACTAATACAAATTTAAGGGCACAACAACAATATTAATATCCAAACTGGTAAAGTAGCATCATTTATTTTACTCCTAAAAAACTGTATCCCATAGCAGTGAAGGAAACATGTTTTTATATCATCATGAATTAGATAGCTTGGGATCCTGTTTAAAAGTAATCACTAATATCTAAAAAGTCAGAAGTCTGGCAATAAAATAAAACAAATAAAACAAAGTATACTGAAATGATATGTAACAAAGTAGGATATTACACAAAAGGATTCTCCTTCTGGAAGTATTTTTAACACTCTTCTTCCCATCCCTTAAAAAGTCTACTCAAGCGCCGGCCTGGTGGCGCACTGGAGAGTGCGCCGCTTGGGAGCGCAGCGGCGCTCCTGCCGAGGGTTCAGATCCCGTGTGGAGACCGGTTCCCGCTCACTGGCTGAGCGCAGTGCGGGCACGACACTGAGGGTTGCGATCCTGTGGCCGGTCAGTAAAAAAGACAAAAAGGGAAAAAAAAAAGTCTACTCAAGTCTACACTCCTCTATGGAGGGAAAGAAAGGAAAATCAGGACAGGAGGAAAGATGAAAAGAAAAGAAAGAGCAGTGTCTCTTAATTCCTTATCCTATGGCTATACAAAATATCTACCTAAGTATATGTACTATTACTATTGGGAGCATGTTTTAAAAAGCTACAAAGTCAGGACAGACGGGCAGTGAGGCCCCGGCAGCTCGGTAGCCGCACCCTCGGTCCTGCCGCCCCTCTCTGCTCCCGGCTCTGCGCTGCCCGCGCTCCTTCCGCTGGCGCTGGCGTTGTCCCCACACGGGACTCAGGGCAGAGCGCGCGGCGGACGAGAAGCCGAGGCCGCAGCTCTTCCTCCCGGCACCTCCGGAGCGCAGAAAATAATACAATTTCTGAATGCGGAAGTGTGGAGAAATCCTAAGAGAAATAGCATGAGAGACCTAAGAGAAATAGCATAAGAGCATTTTGGAATATATCCAGGAAAAGATAACTTTCAACACACCTGTAGACATTCGCCAGGTAAAGCTCTGTGCGTCACCACTTAAGAAATACAGCCCCTTACTTTTAAGATGGCGACGGGTCTGAGCGGCCGTGCCAGGAGACAGCACAACCCTGAGAAGTGTGCGCTGTGATACCAGAGTACTATTTGCATTTCCAAGAGCAACAAAAAACGAATAAATCTTTGAACAACGAACCTACAATGACAAACAAGCAACAACAGGTTCGAGGTTTTAGGGCCGACACAAAAGAAGACTCCTGAGAGTGCCCAAGCCCTGCTGCAGGTTCGAGCGAGCAGCCCGAGACAACAAAGGCCAAGTAAGTCAGCAGAGATGACACAGAAACGGAGTGGAAGGCGCAGGACCGGCCCAACTCTGCGAGCTCTGTAAGTCACCCCCAGTCCAGCCCCACTTGCGGGGCGAAGCCCGACTGCTCCCCGCCCGCCTGGCTCCCGCCTACCACACCAGGCTAGGTGCCCACAACAGAGCTGCCTCCATTTTCTCGGGTGGGGGCGGAAACAGCCGGCTTAGAGCAGGCAGGCCAGCCATCTCTGCTTGGCGCGGATCCTCACTGAGACGAGCCACTTGCTTACCTCGATGCGGGGCACCCCGGGGCCTGTGGACCGGCCTACAATCCCACTCTCCCCACGGATCTCTGATGGGGCTGGTAGTGTGGGGAGCCCCCGACAAGCGTCGGGAGGGCAGGGAAGAGGAGCCCGCCCAGATCGTCTCTCCACCACACCCTGGGCTTCAGCCCCAGGTAAACTCCCTGTTTCCGGGAGGCAGATACCATCTCTGTGGGCCTCAGTTTGGAAAAACCCCTAACTGATTTCTGGTTGGGAGAGGGGAGCCCGGAGCGCTCTGGAGCTGCATTGAAGATGCCGGAGAGCACTCCCAGAGGGCGCCCCAGGCGACCCGTGCTGGGGGTAGTCAAAGAGGAACTGTGTGCTGTGGGACCCTACCCCGAGGAGCTCACACCCTGCAGTTGGAGAGACTAGACACCTTCTGGGCAGGGCAGGGCAGGGCACAGCTTTGATGTCTCAACTGAAAGATGAGGTTTGCAGAAGACACGCCTCAGCCCTGTTCTGAGTGCACAGAGTGGGGAGGGGTCCGGCAAAAGGAGGCGGAGTCTTGGGAGAAAAAAAAAAAAATAGTTACACATCCTGCGGGAACCCTATGCAAGGCTCAACATCCCCACCTAGTGCACACAGAGTGTGAAAACGCCCCGATACCGAGGTGCAGAACACACACACCTTACGGGACTGGCAGGGCAGTATCCAGCAACCTACTAGAATTCAAACTGACCAGAGAGCAGACTTCCCGCAGAGGTCCGAGACCCGAGTGAAACTCCCTGACAAAATGAACAAACACCCAAAAAGAGATACCAGAAATGAAAAAAACCAAGAAAGTACACCACCAAAAGTTAATAAAGCGCGGGCCGGCCCGGTGGCGCACTGCTACAGTGCGCTGCTTGGGAANCACTCACTGGCTGAGCGCGGTGCGGCCGGTCTCAAAAAGGACACACACACACACACACACAAAAAAAAAGTACAAATAAACTCATTGGTCTAATCCTCTTAATCTTTGGAGACATGCCTTATCTTTGGAGAAATGCAATGCCAAACTTGCTGCATAGGACTCAGGTGCTCAGCTTTTTCTCTCTTAATAATTCTGTTACTAGAACAAGGGTGTC